GTTATAAATGTATCACAACTCCTGCCATGACAGTCAGAACCATCTCTAAAGTCGTCATGTTAAATCCAACTGTTCACTTTTTTTACTGTGTGGGCGTTGGAACAAGCCCCCGCACCTGAGAACAAACATCCCAGCTCCAAAGCTGATCTTCATCCGCGTAAGTCAAACGTCACATGATCAGGAAGCGGAAAATCCATTTGTTAGGATTGTTTTGAGCCGCTGTTGTAAAAAAAAAAAAAAAAAAAAGTGAGGCGCGAACCGGAAAAGCTTCTGTCGATCACAATTCGACAACGGATTATGAAAGAACAAATAACGAAATGCGATTCTTCCTGATGTAAGAGGTGAGTCTCCTCTTTGTTTTGGTAGTTTTGGTACTGACATCATCATAGAGCACAACGTTCTGTGACTCTTAAAAAAGAGTAAAAATGTTGAAAAACACTGGCAGTGAAGGGCTTTTCTGATCAGGAAACGGCTGGCAGGGAATGAGTTAACATTCATGGACTCACCCATCTTCACTAACAAGGAAGGCTGTTGTCGGTTTAGTGTCCAGGAAACAACAGAGAACATCTTGGGTAGTACAAGCTGACTGTTAGCATTAGCAACTCCACCACAGAGCAGAAGCTCCTCCAGGCTGTTACTTGTGGAGGTAAAACATCAACGTTGCAAGTCAGCGGTAGAGTTGCGTTGCTGTTATCCAATCCGGGGCGAGATGCCCAAAGATCAGGAACTAAGATTCCAGAACTTGCCGTCAGCTTGGATGTAGCTCACTTATAGTTCCTAGAAATGGTGTGCCAGTGTATCTCTCCCCCCCCCCCCCCCCCCCCCCCCCAGAAAAACTCAGAGGGCATTGATTCCTACAGTTAAAGAGACTATTGCAAATGTACTGATTAAATGAGTAAACCACACCTTTAACATCTGCTGTGATGGAGGAGATTATTGCTATTTGATAAAGCTGCATCCCTTTGTATTTTGGGACATTCTAGTCAGAAATATGCCAATACAGCAACTAATCCACATGCAGACTTTGTTTAAAGAAAAGAAACAGAAAAACCTGTCAAATGTTTCTGTGTGTTTCAGATTACCTCCTTTTCCTGAAAATGTATTCAGGCTGCTCAAAAAAAATGAAGAAAAACATGTCCTTTCTTTGCCCTTCCTCCTGCTGACTATTCACAGCAACTTTGCATCCTTCACACCACATTTTATTTTATTTCTTGTGGTGAACAACGGTAGCCTAGAAATTTAGACCCAACTGTAGCAATAGCAAAAATATTTTGCTCTGCAGGTCTTAATTTACATGTAGATATATAAATATATAGGTACAGATACATAAGTGTACATCAGGACCAGGCTAATGGCACAATCTGTAATGAAGTACAAAAATCTGTCACTCGCCTGTGTGAGTTTACGCTACATTTAAAGTAAACTTTTACTTATTTACTAGATTTAACCTGCACAGACTGGTTGCTCACTGCTAATCGTGCTGACTTGCAAGTAATCGTGTCTGTCCTCTACAAAATTAAATCACGTCAGGCATTCCTTATTCTAAACAAACCAAAACATCTCGTGTAAATGTCATTTTTCTTCCCTTCCTGAGAATCATTATTTATCACATTTCCTCAATCTGAAGAATGCAAACAAGTCAGTTCATTACGTAGTTATGTTCTGGTCACTTATCACTTCTCATCTGCACTGTCTACTTGGCAAATTCCAAATGCAAACGCTGGTGAGTTCTGGAGGATACGTCTTCAGTTTTCCTCCCTGTAATCACACCCAAAACTAACGGCTTAGAAAGGCAACAGGGGGAGAAGCTTTGTTTAGAGGCAGGAGATGCTGAAATGAAGTGGAGGGGCAATAAGTGGAGAACTCTCCTCACACTTGCTGGCAAGATGGACCCTAATTTGCCTATTTGTCTCTGTCTCTGTGCGTTTATGTGCACAGTGATCAAGAGCAATTGGCAGGCGGTGACTGCAGGCGACAAAGACATTTCAGCTCGTATTTGAACCAAGTCAGCTTTTTCCCCTGCTCCCGTTTTCTCTGCTCTGCACTCTGATTTGTTTCACACAAACACTTGTCTAATCTTGCTTGTTTGTTTCATGCTTTTTCAGCAGACCAATGCCCGGTTCCTTATGAACACACCGAAACAGGATGGAGAATGGTTGGAAGAAAACATGGAACATTCTATCTCTTTTTAACTCTCCTATTAACTTTATTTCCTCTTTTTTATTTATTTTTTATTTTTATTTTGCCCCTCCTCATCGAGTCTTATCTAATTTTCTCCTCTCCTTCCCACTCTGTAGAGGATTAGGACAGAATCCTTGATATCCAGCTGTAATCCGACACTGGAAATCCAGCTCCAACAAGAATAAGCACACACACACACACACACACACACAGAAACCAAAGTTCTGCTCTGGCTGTTCCACTTTGCTAAGAATCAGCAGAAGAAAAGCAAAGACATGAAGGATAAATGAATGAAGCAGAGACGTAAGCAGGCTGGTCTACGTCCCAGCTTGTCCCTGTCATCCTCCTCCAGGTGGGGCCTTCCTGTCAGCTAAACATCCCCCCTTGCCCCCCCTGCTGAGACCTACAATGGCAGATTGGCAACCCTAATACCACAGCTTGCTTTATCTGCCTGAATTAAAACCCAACTGTGGGAATTGCCAGCTCAGGGAGTGTTTTATTTTCTGTTTACTTTATCTTTCTTTCGGGGAATCGTGTGTGTGGGCGCGTTTTGGAGGTTGTGTGTGTGTGTGGTGGTGGTGGGGGTAAATCAGATGGATAAAAGCTTGTAGAGTATCAGTCTGGATATTAAACACTGAACTAATTCATCTACATCTACAGGCATAGCTGTTGTTAGCCCTTTACTAAGAGCAATGTTTTTCCAAAAACTTGTGTGCGTGCGTGCGTGTGAGTGTGTGTGCTTGCATGCAAGGAGTGCTCATTTGCACAGAGTGAGGGAGTGTGCAAAAAGCAAGATGAAGATAAATTTCTTTAATTTGTTGAGAATTAATCAGGATTTAAAGAAAATGTGTGCAGAAATGGAACTAAATGTTTGCACAGACAGCTGTAAGAACAATGGCTGTTTATAAACGGAAGGGAGGATGATAGAAAAAGCCACACTTTAATATAGCTGGTGTTCGTGCTGCCAGAATAGGATTAAACTTCTAGCATTCTTCAGAGGAATGCATCTCACCTGCTGCTCATACTGAGAACTCTACGATTCGAAAGGACTACAAGGCACTCTGTTTTAAAATGATTAAAAAATACTTTATTTTCATGTCATGTAGACCAATGAACATTTCAAGTATTTCAGCTTACAAGCCGAACCCTTCAAACAGACTGAATCTACTAAAACATGTAACTACCTCAAATTCTGTTAAACTAGATGAGTTACAGCAGAAGTGTGCGACCTTTTCAAGATGAGGGCCAAAATTGTCAACATAACGGTCCTCAGGCGGATGAACCGGTGCAAAACTACACGTCATTCCATCACGCTAACCTCTTGACTACCAATACTGTTACATAGCAATAGTGGCCTAACACACATATCCTGAGCTGGCCATTACATGCATCTTTGTGGACAGGGCGCATGGTTTTTACGGCAGTGTTTTGTCCCCAATGCAGACGTAATTTGTCAGAATATCCACAGAATATTGATGTTTCAGAACCGTGACCAGACCAGATTTTAGAAGTGAATTTAATCAGAAAACTCAGGCCAGATGCTTCCAAGACACATCCAGTGTTACTATGAGATCTTGTTCTGTCAGAATGGAGATGGTAACAACTGCTGCCACATAGCAGTTTGAATTGCACCACACAAAAGAAATACAGTAAATGTTTCCATGTAAAAGCTCAACAAGAAAGTCTGCTGCTTTTAAATATAATTTCTGGATCATAACACAAAATATTGTGATGATATTTCGGTGTATCTATATTTTCAGACTTTCCTATAATGCTGATTAAAGTCATCCGAGGTGGATACACTCCAAAACCTAATCGGTCGTCAAGTAGAAAAACAAATCATTGCTTCTTTACATACTGAAAAGTATGTAAAAGTCTGAAAAGTGACTGAATGTTATGCAGACACTGAATAAGATCATCATGAGCAAAATCATATGATAAGTAAAAATGAAGAAGGAGGAAGCCTGACTTTGGCCTTAGATGTAGAATTAAGAGGTAGAATCATGAGCTTTGGCCTTCGATATAGAAGTAAAGAGGTAGAATCATGAATGAAGGGAAGAAGAGAGTGAGGAGCAGTGCTGAAAGAAGACGGGGTGGGGACTGTACACATACGAACCCTGTTGCCAAAGCTTTGGTATATTAGTATGTCTCTGCTTGCGTTCCTGCCTCTCTAGTATCTTCCGTGTTGACAGCTGATGGCAAGATAGTGCGCTAAATCAAGGCGAAGAGGAGGACTTGAGTCTAGGAGGAAGAAGGCAGACAGACATGCATGACCTTAGCCTTATCACTTGCTCAGACCGCCATCTCGCTGCAGGGTTCTCCTCAGCTGTGGTGCAAGGTCATGTTTTTCCATCTCCTGGGTCTGCCACCCCACTCATCAACCACATGCATTATACAGTAGGTACATTCTCCACGCTGACCTCCTGCGTTCACCAGAGAAGCACTTTTGAAGCTTTGGGGACCGAGTCAGAGAGAGCAGCTGAGCGGCTGCGTCGACATCGCCAGAATCCCACTTGGCTGGCGCTTTAGCTGTTTTTCCACTATGGACTAAACCCAGTTCAGCTATTTTGGGTGTTTTTGCTGAATTGTCCATTTTCTTGGATGGAGCTCAGACTTGACACCTGCTTTCACACTTCACCAGATGTGCTAGACTTTTGGTGCCAACAGCTGTGGTCTGGAAAAACTCTAATTAGCTCCAGTGTGAAAAGCTTTTTTTTAAGTCTTAAGTAAAATTATGAAACCAGAGGCCTTCAAGTCTGGCTTCTCTCATTTTGAATAACTTTATAAACACAACTCTAAAATCAGAATTTTTCCAACAGATCCATCTGGACATGTGACCTCCTCACCTTTGGGCTCGCCTACATCCCATCGAGGAATGCACCCACCTCTGCTGAGTCCAAGCTCCATGGGTCCCTCTGGTTCTCTCCACTCTCCCATCAGCACCCTGAGTTCCCCGATGAACGGCCTGGCCTCACCCTTCTCTGTTATTAGCTCACCCATGGGACCCCACTCTATGAACTCACCCGGTATGGGCTACGGCCCCAGCGTGAGCCCCCAGGTGAGGCCAGTACCGCACATGCACGTGAGTTCACCAGCATTTTAAAACTAAACACTGTAAAATCAATTTATCATATTTCTTTCCACAGCTTTTACACTTGCACAAATGCAAATATTCATGACTTATCATATAAACTACAAACAAACACCAGATGTTGATATTAAAACATTTTAACAAGGGGCTTCGAACGCCAGATTTAGCGGCAGCAAAAACAAAGCCTTGCTTCCAGTCCTGTGTTTATTCTCTGTTTCTTATTGTGTTTTATTAAATTATGCAGATCGGTGCCACACTGGCTTTGGACATTTTTTTTTTCCTCTAAGCAGTCACAAAGTTTTAGTTGAGCCAGGTGGTGTCTGTAACCCAACCCCCGGCCCATAGCAGGAACAGTTCTTTGCTTTGGGCGTCAAGAGTGCAACACCAGTTTTACTGGCCTGGATCTGCTGCTTTGGCTGGTGAAACCAAAAGAAAGAGCACTGGTTCCGGACCTTTGGTGGAAATATAAACAAACGGACAAAGCATGCTTGTTCATTTTAGGCAAATCCTGTTAAAGTCTTTAAGAAAAAAGTTGAAGTTGGTGCTCTCAGATGGAGATAACATTACAAAAATCTACCCCATTGGTAATGCTTTACAACAATAACCCCTTTTATTAACGTTACTTTGTGCATTTTTAACCAGTAATAAACCAATAAATAAAGTGTTAACAACTGCTAAATGTTAATGTTAATATTAAGTAATGCATTACTAAGCAGAAACCCCCACCCTGGCCCTTAACCTTAAGGACACTTAACAGTTAACAATATCAGGAACATTTAATAAAGGGATTCTTTATTTATTAATGCATAATAATGCACTTAGTACCTTTAATAAAGGGAACCTTATTGTAAAGTGTTACCCAACTATTTATTTCTGATATCTTGGAATTTTAGTGCTTGTTCTTGTGGTGTTTGCACAAAGCTCGTGACCATAAGGGTGGGTTGGATTATTATGGTTGGATTGTGGACAGACTTACGGGCCTTTCCACCAGACATGTAAATGTCACGTTAAGTCCATGAAGTGTAGTATGAGCTGCCGTTATAGTGACTGGGTGTGTTTTCACTGGCCCCAAAGTGTCGTGTTTTACACACACCATAGAAATAGTGTCACACTGCTCTGCTAATTTTACTCTTCAAGTCTATTTTTTGCACGCTGCGTCTCCAGAACGCATCAGGCTCAGCAGTTCAGATCGAACCAGACAGGAAGTCGAACACAAAAGCAATGGAAAACATTTGGCAACTTTAAAAAAATGACGTATATATTCCCTGTTGCTTAACCAGTAAAAATATATACACTATTGCGTTTGGCGCCTCTTTAGCCAAAGTAAACACAAAAGACAATGAACTACAGACCTTACTGGATATTAGAGGTGTGAATCTTCACTCATCTCCCAATTCGATTCGATTACGATTATTGGGTCAGCAATTCAATTCGATTCAATATGTCGATGCATCACGATTATTTCATATTGATTTGTTTTCATCGATAAATAGAAGATGTCAGATAATTGCCTTTTTTAATTAATTTATTTATTTATTTATTCATATATTTTTATCAAAAACGTAATTGACACAACCTGCCATCCCTGAAAAGCTCTCCATTCACAACAGGTTAGAACAAAACATTTTAAACATTTAAGAAGATTTAACAAAGTAAAACATCTGTTTCCTCGTTAAACAGCCACGCCTCAGGCTGAGAAAAACATACTTTGCAAAAACTCACAAAATCAAACTCAAAAAATACTGAAAACCTATAGGACACATCATGTAATAATAAAATACATAATGGGTTCATATATGAGTGTTTAATATCTCTGAGCAGCTTTAGAGTCAAATATTTATGCCACAGTTGAAGGGTGTCAGAAATAACACCAAATGAAATGTTTGACTTAGTTTGTTTTTTATTTGAACCCAGTGGTCGTTTCTGAAATGTTGGAGAATGAATCAAGTTCTGTTTGATGCAGAAAACAATAAAACATAAAACAAATTCTACACTTCCAATACTATTTAAGATGTGTGTTTTATTCTTTCTGGTAATAACACCAGCAGAAGGCTGTGGGCTGGATTAGGATTAGATTACCCAGCTGATGGATCTTCTTCACTAACCAGCTAACTACAAAACTTTCCACTAACCTGTCCTGTGGGACCCTCACCATGTAACCCTCATGTCCATGCTGTCTCTGGAGGAGCAGACAGGAAACAAGACCTCCTGTAACCTAAAATGAACCAAAGTTTCTTCCCAGTTTTTTAAGTTGAATTTAACATCAGTTTATCATCATGAAACTAAAGTGGAACAAAAACTTCTATCATCTATTTCTCTCTCCTTTTAACTTCTCTGTGTCCCTAAATAAAAGAGACAGATGATTACGCTGCAGCCGCCGTCACTCACCCCTGCCACCTCCCCAAGACCGGATCTACCGACATCACAACACTCGGTATGAGCGCTTCGAGGAGAAATAATAATTAAATAATGAAAATAATAATGCGTGTTTGGAGGAGCGTCCTCCGATGCTCTCTCTTGTGTGAGCAGACAATCTCTCTCTCTCTCTCTCTCTCTCTCGCTCGCTCGCTCGCTGTGCGAGCGGAGCGGGCCGCGTGACAACCCGCTCAATTAACATAATTCACTGCCCAAATCCAACAGAACAGGTCGGGCTGAGCCGGTTCAGTCTCAGGTTAAACTCTAGCGCTCAGCCTGCAGTACCACATAAAGAGGGAACAATACTTGGTATACTTGGTAAATGTGGAGGACACTTACTCTGACAGGTTTGGATGCTGCACTGGTGCCGTCGTTAAAAAAGCAAAACTACATTCCACTATGATGGATTACGGCGTACTCTTCTACGATGCGGAATCGTTTATGTCCGCATCTCGATGCATTGATTATTTGATTAGTTTCCTCAGCTCTACTGGATATATATGCTACTGCCTATCTCTATTGCGTGAACTGCTGAAATCACACAGTCTTGCAGTTCTCTAGTGATTTTTGTGATGTCACTGGGCCAGCTGCATGGAAGGCTTTCGTTAATGTTTCACATCTGAAACGCTCCTGGTAGGATGTGCTGCTGAGTTCGCAGGTAATAATATGTAACGCAACGCTTACGGGTCCAATGGAAAGCCTCGGTTAGTGTCCACATCACTGCAGTCCAAGGGTCACCAAACCAACCTTACACATATGAGTAAATCTTACATTTGTTGGTTGATCTTCCACTCTGTTCTCCCCTCACTCATGAACAAGGTACTCCTCTCCCCTCAAACCGCAGTAGGAAATCCACCCCTTCTCTGATCAGACTCGGGTTATGTGGTGCTGATCCTTGATGTTTGTTCCATGGTGTTCCACAGGTCTGTCCTTACCACCTTTGGTGTTCTGTGTTCTATAAACTAAACTTGAATGCCCCAGAAATGCTTAAACATGTGTAGAAGTGCAGCGTTAAACCCACACAGACACACACATATAATTTCCCAAAGCGAGACAGAGGCCCAGCTTTGACCCCTGGCACAGTCAGTCAAGACCTATTCAGGGAGGATTCCACACTCGCTTCAGCTCCGTCACTCCTCCTTTTATATCTGAATCATGCTTGTCATTTTCTCCCTCCATTCCTCTCCTTCTCCATCCTTTGTGCTCTGGCTGCCGCCTTTCCTTCTGTTTCCCTCTTGTTTTCCTTCTTTGTCTTTGTCTCACATCTTCTCAATTTTAACTCCATCTATGAGGCTTCATCAGTAAGCCTTTTTCGTATTATGAACACACACACACATACACACACACACACACACACACACACACACACACACACACACACACACAATTAAGACATCAAAGCTTGCAGTGGCCCAGTTTCTGTCTGGAGCCATATCTGAAATTAAAATTGTTTCCCTCCATATATTTGCTGGACGTCTTCTTGTGTTTACTGATAATTGTGTTTAAATATGTCGACTAGACACTATTTGTGGTTGAGCTCCTCCTCGCTGTTGTTTAGCTTATCTGCACCTTCTTCACAAAAGAGTCCCATGTGTTACAGCATTTAGGGTGGATTAAGGACGCTTTGAGAGAACGTACATGGTTTTTTGTTTAGGTTTTTTGCTAGAAAGCTCGCGTCCTTCCCCCCACCCTTCAGACTTTTCTCTCTGCTCTATAACTCCAGCACTTTTATCTGTGCCGCTTTTCAAGTCTCATACTATGTATGCTGGTTGACTGTTTGGAAAATAGTTGATTCAGTTTCATCTGTCTTATTTAACCCTCTCAGGCTCAAAATAAGTTTTGATAAAAGGACGAACAAGTAAGTCCGTCAGGGGTACTTCTGAGTTGAAAAATGCTCATGAAATATGTATGTAGAGTAACCAGATAGGCAGGTTTTAACGTTGCAAATCTGCAACGCCTGCCTCCAGAGGGTTCAATCTATTTGGCAGACCTAATTTTACACATTTACCATGAAAATGCACTTCCTGTGTTCCATTGCTGCTATGAAAAGTATCACTCAGATGCTTGGATTGGCTAACTGGGATGACTCACGAGGAAGGAGAACAAAAGCAGTCACCTTGGTCTTATGATGGAGGAAACTGAGAGTTTTAGTACAGAATGTTATTTCCCAAAAAGCAGAAATTGTTCATCTGTTTGCTGCCTCGAACATTCTTTGTCTCATTCTTGGAAATACATAAACCATATGACTGTTTTTAAGACTTCCATAAACGTTTGTATTTACAATCAGAGCGATGAGGGCAGGAGTCTTTCTGCACCTGTGTAGTCTTGAATGTAGTTTTACATTTGTGACATCCCTTTTTTGAACAGAAACTTGTAATGTCGTTAACCCTTGACGTGTTCTTACTTTTTACTTTTTTCTTTTCTTTCTTTACAAAAACATTTTAAGGCATTTTTTACATAAAAAATCTCATTAAGGTTACATATCAAGACTTCAGACGTGCAAAAGTGATCAGTTACAATAACGATTATTGTCCAAATTAAACAAAAGCGTTTCTGTTTTTTTGTTAACCCTCCCT